AAGTGTAAAGGACATGTACATGAGGAAGGGAAAAGGACTATTCATTTGCTAGCTTTAGGGTTCCAACAAATGAGATGGAGAGTTTGGAATTTGGTCTCAAACTCAAGGGTGATATCATGTAAGAGGAGATCGTTCACTTGATAATTTTGTGTCTTAACAAATGAAAGAAGTAAACTTAGGATTTGGTCCTAAGTTTGGAGAAGTTCCTTAAACATGTGACGTTTAGAAGGAACAAAGAGAGGTGAACATTCTCTTAATTTTGAGTCTTAAGAGAATGGGTTGGTCTCCTACAACTTTTGGATGTTAGACAAGACAAAAAATATGAGATGCGACCTAGAGGTCGCAAGATTGGAAAAGATCCCTTGAACATTTGGTGTTCAAATCGATTTGTTCACTCACTTAATTTAGTTTGAGTGAAGGGGTGTATGAACCTAGAATTGGATTCTAAGGTCCAAGATTTTCATGTTGCGATATTATGGAATTTTGGGAGGTTCCAACTCATCACATATGAAAAGAGAGATTCATACAATTCGAATGAATGTTTGGATTCATTTGGAGGGGAGAGATTGATTCCCTAGGAGGTTTGGAAGACAACCTATAACACTATCAAAGCTCTACAAGAAAGTGGTTTTCTCTAAATCGTACCTAATATGATTTGGAAAATTGAGAGCTTGTATTTGGCCACATTATCTTGCAAATTAAGAGAAATGAGCTTAAATAATCCCTTAGTATGATGGAGCATTGATCATGGGCTTTTGAAGTCCATGAAATGCTCCAAATCAATCTCACCAACACTTAGGATTAAGTAAGCACATTTATGAAAATTTGCAAGTTAATACATTCACTAATTTAAGCAAGGAATAAATAACATATGGCTTGAATCATGATTTAGTATGGAAACATGTATCTTAAAGCCTTTAAGGGATCAAATCACTTTTGGCGTGATTTGGCCCATTAAAAGCATTAAAATGAGTTTCCAAACCTTGGAATATTTGCGTAACAAAAATGATTAGCCATCAACTTTTCTATCACAAACCATACAACGCATCCAAAGGCGAGTTTGATCGAACACACTTGCTCTAGGATTTTCGTAGTGAATCTTTGAGACTCACACTAGATCCTACAATAATTCATCACAAATATTTTGGATATATTGCAAGGCTTATGACAACCCTACAAGCTCCACAAAATTCCTAAATCATATGTCTATTCCGTCATGACACTAATGTTGAATAAGTCCATGTACACAATATGAGATTTGGGAAAAGATGTGAGCTATCCACCCAATTTGGCTACGAAAAGTAACATGCCCTAAAGTTTGGATATAGGCGAAGGTGTTAAGCTTAATATGATGCATAGCATACATTTGAGAGATGTCGGATAACAACCCGACGCCTCTACGCGTGTCAAAATTCTCTCCGAACTCTTACATAAGAGTCAACTAATAGAAATCGCCTAATTTCCATAGCCTTTGCGAAGTGGACAGCCAACATAAAGGTTTTTGGGGACCCAAAATTAAAGTTTCAAAGGACCTAAGGCTTTGGATCGTCAACCACATTGCAATTAGCCTTGGGAGCCTTAAGGTTTCGCCTAAGTTTTAGTGGTATACCTTCCCCAGGTTGTCCATGCGCTCCTATCCAAGTTCCAAGCTTTATCCAAGCTCCAAAGTCGCTCCAAGCTCCAAGGTCGCTGTCCAAGCTGCTCCGGAACTCGCCGCTGCTGTCCAAAGCGATTTGAAGGCCCCAAATCGCTGTTTGGGAGATTTAGGAACCTTTGTTTGCTGTTAGGAAGTCTCCAACAGCTTTTTCGACGCCTCAAAGTCGCCGGAGTTGAAAGGAGGAGGAGGAGAAACCACTGCAGTGAATATAGAGCCTTCCTCGTGTCGATCCAGGCGGAGTCGAAGCGGTCAGGTCACCCAGGTCAGGCGAAAGAAGGATCCGGATCCCCTAGCAGGCTTGGCCGAGGCTCTGGATGAGCTCGGACGAGGCCGTCGCACGCGAGAGGGAGGCCGGACGGGGCTTCCGAACGCAAGGAGTGCGAACAGGGGCTTCGGCATGAAGTGGGGTTCCGCTTGGTGGAGTCGCACAAAGGGAGCTCTCCGCCTCTTCTCTCTCACTCGCTCTCTCTGTGTCGGGACAGGGAACGAACGAACAGCAGCAGGGGAGCCGAATGCCGCTCCCCACTCCCTCTCCTGCTCTTGTTTCGGGACGGGTTCGGACGGACAACACGATGGAGCAGGTCCACCGCCTATAATACCCAATCTGGCTTCCTCGTTGCTTGAAACGAGGTGAAATGTGCTTGAGTACATTGGACCCAAATTTTGGGTGAGAAATGAGATAAAATCTCAGCCCTAGGTTTCAATTTTCTGATTTGGGAAGTTGATTGAGCCCAAATCAATCAATTGGGGCTGAAATTGGCTCCGAATTGGGCTCGACCCGAATCGATTTGAGTCGATTTGGGTCCGATTTTGTTCAATTGAGTCAATTTTGCAAAATTGAACTCCGATCGATGTCGAATAGCGTCGAATTGGGTTCGACGACACTCGACGAGGTTTGATTTGATTTGATTTAATTTTAATTTAATTAAATTGATTTAATTTAATTAAATTGGAGTCTAATTTGAGTCGATTTCCTCTCAACGTCGATCGATCGAGTCGATCGAGCGCGATCGAGCCTAGTCGGGCTCGATCGGGGTCGAGTCGGTGCGAAAATATTTGTCAACATTCCCTAAGTTGTTAGAGAAGAGGAGAGGATAAAGGAGAGGAGGAAAGAGAAAGAGATGAGGGAAATTTGGAGGCAGTAGCTTGTGATTCGTCCGTCGGGCCAATTAGGAAAATTATCAAGCATGAGGTAAACTTCTAAACATTTTTATGATGTTTTCATCGTGTAACTTTTTTCATATCGTAGTCTACTTTAATCCTTGTATTTTGACTATAAAATGTTGAACTTTTATTGATTTGTTTTCTTTTTGGTGATTTTTATGCATATTGAATAAATAAGACATTTTTAATAGCCTGGTAGTACTCTAAAAATCATAAAATGTTACTCTGAATATTTTTCTAAAATTAGAATTGGAAAAATGTTAAGTATTTAAGGTTCCACATAAAATTTTATCCTCTAATAATTATGGTAGCTTATAATTTATCATGCTCATGTTTAAAGTCATAATTACTCATTTTATTTAAATTTACATAATTCATGATATGACATTGAAGATATTATGTTCTCTAAAATATTACAAGTGTGTAGGCTCCGAAAATTTGGCCCCGGCCTCCGCCCGCACTGTTTGTTGCTTTATCTTTTGCGAGGGAGTTTTAACGGAATTAAGTTTCGAGGTAAATTTTGGAAGACAGATGGGTTTATAGATAAGACACTACCCAGAGATTTCTCCCTTATTTTGTGAGGACTTTATGATCCGAGTTATGGTTTCCTATAGGCGCAAGCCTCTATAGTTAATTACCTCTCCCGATCACGAGAGAGAACTTTCGTTTAAGGCTAGTCGTCAATCAGATACGTATAAATACGTGTTATCTGGCATATAGTAGCAGCATGGGTTTGCCTTCGCAGCGAGTGGAGCTTCGATCGTGGCTTCCGATCAAATTGTTGTAACATCTGATCCGCCTGGGAGGAGAAAGAGCGAGAGCGACAGAGGGAGAGCGATCGAGAGAGGAGAGATCAGAGGGAGGTCGGGAGAAGGGCGGGATCGTGCGAGAGCGGAGAGGGGCCGAAGGCCTCGTCTCTTCGGCCTTTTAACGACCCCAATGAATCGTGCGCGCGACATGGGGAGAAATGATGCGTGGCATGGCGACGACGTGCGAGATGACAGAGCAGGTAAGGTATTTTTATTTTATTATTATTTTTTTTTTACGGGTCAACAAACTGTACTCTTTGAAATGATATAAATACTTTATATATTATGTTATGGCTCCATCTACCTTGTGTGAATCTGGGAGAGATTTTAGGCCCATTTGTTGAATACGGATGTGTGAGGTTGAAATAGAGTTATAAGTGGAAGTGGAGTTATAAGTATGCATCCAGATATTTGCATCACTTTTATGCATTGCATATTTTCTTGAGAACTTTATAAATTAAGTATAAATGATATTTTTATAACTTTGAAATCTCCGAATACTTTTTTATGAATAAAAACGATTTAAGTGCATGTTATATTCTGTAGCAAGTATCATCTGACATTTTTGGCACTTGTGAAATTCATGTGAAAAAGTATAATTGATGTGAAATTAAGTACATTCTGATAATTATAAGAAATTTCTTTTCCATTAGTATTTAGTTCATAATTTATTGATTAACTAAACATTTGAATAATTTGTTATTAGTATTTTTATTGATATTGATATGAATGTGAAAGAAATTTATTGTGCTCACTTTGATACTAAACTAATATTTTAGGAAAAGGAAAATGCCTTGTGGAGTAGAGTTGATAAGGACATGCTTGTTAGGAGCAAGATTTTGAGGCATTTTCATAATCCAGTGTTATTTATTTTGATATATAAATTTCATTTAATCTAGATTATTCTATATAAAACTTTGAGAAATAAATTAAATCAAATAATATTTATACTGTTATTACAATTTTGGATCTTAAAGTTAGCTTTGGTTTATTTTGTATTGTCGTTGAGGAAAATTTAGGGGTATGAATTTAATCCATTTATTAGATTTTGTGGCGTTGTAGAGTGATTTTAGAGTAATGTTTTGAAAGGATTGGATTGTAATCATAGCTATATAAAATAATTAGACACATTCCATACTAAACTTACAAAATAACATAAAATAAACTAACTTAAATAAATAAATTATATTGTAATCATTGCTTGATGCACTGATTCCGATGAGAATAGACTTACATATTTCTATCAGTAGTCAAGCTTATGTTATTTCGATTGTTTGCTTGATCATTTCAATACATTGTTGAAATTGTTCTTTCTTTCTTATCAACTTTATTTGTGCAAATTTGTAAGTTTGTAGCTTATTTTGTGACAGTGGTATCGGCTTTTGGCATATAAAAGTCTCTATCAAAATGAAGGCACATGCTCTATACGGATATGGAGATGGAGAGGTTTTCTGATTCAGGTTGTGAATGTAGCTTTTCCATAATGCTTTTTAAATTAACAGAAGGATTGTAGTTAGATTTTTTCTAATAAGATAATCTTAAATTTTATTAAAAAAAGTGATAAAAGATCTGTCTTATTTTTCCACATACCTCTTCATGTATACTTTCATTGGTAAAAAAGATTTTTTTTTCCGAAGAAGGATTTTTTTTTTAGTTAAAAGTATTATTAACTGTTAATTATTTTGTGGCATCCTGAGAATGGAAGGCGTTACTCTCCGGTAACAAGGAACGTGATGAATGATACGAAGACCTATGTTTACAAAAAGAAAATTGCATATATAAGTAATAAAAATAGAACATACAAAGTAAACAATGGAAGAGAACTTGAACTTTCATTCCATTACTATAAATTCGAATGACAAAATATCAATAAAATAGAAATTGTTACATACAAAAAGGGATGTGAAAAAAAAAAAAAACAACTACAAAAATAGAACTATCTAATCCTCAAAAAGAAACATATGAGTGATCTATTATGAAATAAAAAAAATGCCACCTTTTATATCTGGTAGATATACTCCTATGATGATGGTCCTTCTAACACTTCGATAAGACTTGCTATGAGAAGAGGTAACAATGAGTGAGTTTGAGAATTCAAGGCCAATAAGTAATTCTATATTAAAGCATAAATGACATGCAAACGTAACACATCAAAAACAATGAGTGAGTTTGAGAATTCAAACCCAATAAATAATTCTATCTATTAAACCATAAATGACATGCAAATGTAGCACATATCATAAGCAATAATAGAAATAAGAGTAGCTGTATAATAATAGATCATCGATGTATTAATTTAATAGTCATATGCCATTATTCCTACACCTAGTTTTAATATGATGATATTACTAATGTGCAAGTCAAACTGTCACTAATGTAGTGTCACTAATGTAGTATCAATTAATTTCTTACACATGCAATCATGTTGGATACCATTTTACCCCAATATGATTTACTAGTTATTCATTGTGTTATTATAGTCATTTTTATCAAATGCCATGTATTTGGAATGTAAACACCAATCAAAGGATGTCTAATAATTTTCTATAGAGTTGCCAATTTATGGGCTTGTCAGCCAGATTATTTTATTCATAGCATTATATATAAAACTCATAGCAATCTTCTTCTTTGCATCACCATCTTCAAAACTTGTACCAATGGCCTAATAGTTGTAATATCATATATCACACTTTGCCAAAATTTATCATTTAAAATTTCTCACTTCTTTCGCCTTAGATTTTCTTACCTAAAAACAACTCAACCACTGTGTTGAGGTGAACACAGCCTCTAAAAGTTGTTTTGCGTCCAACATGGTAGTGACAAATCTGGTTGCTGCAGACTTAAATATTTTTTTTCTTTGAAAATTTTCTTATAAGTGTCAAAACTCAAGAGTAGTTGTAAATAAATTTACTTATATTCTTAACTTTTGTTAGTGCATTCTTGTGCTGCGATCAATGTTTTAAAAGGCAAAATCGAGAATCGAAGCGTTTTGTCTAAGCGAGGCGCGGCATAATCCTCGAGGCGTAAGCCTTAAAACGGTAAAAATAAGCTAATGTAAAATTATAAATAATGATAAAAAATGATAAAATATTAAATCAATTATGAACTTGATGATTTGTTCTAAGAAAAGGAAGAAAACAATTATTTTCATGAGGGTTTATGTATAAAATTATACTGAATATTTGTTTGATTAAAAGAATATCGTTGATGTTTATATCTGAAAAGAAAAAAAACTTTTCATAATATGTAATTTATTAGAATAAATTGAGCATGATTTGATAAACTTTAGTGGGATTTAGTAAATCCTGTAAATCCGAATTTGATAAATCCTGAAAGGGTTAAATCATGAAAATTAATTGGTATGTCAAATGATAAATCATGTTAAGTACAAATTACTCAGTAATTATTATTAATACCATTAGTTATATATTTTATAATTTATATTTTAATTTATATTAATTAGGCTAATTATATTATTATTTAATTAATAATTATATTACTAATTAGTCAATTAAATTAAATTAGATAATTAATTTATGCACTAATTATACTAATTATTATTTAATTAATTTGCTTAATTATTTATATTTTAAATTACATTAATTAAGTTAATCAATAATAACTTAGCCGCGTCTAGGGTTTGCCTTTCGTCTTCTCTTTTCGTCCTTGCTGTTCGGCTTCGTTGCTTCACAAGAGGTGTAGAGATTGCACGCATGGCTTCTTTGCCTCCTTCGTGGCTGTTCGACTTAGCTCCTTCAACGACTTTCCCTTCCTATTGGATAGTAAGTTTCGACATTTTGATCAGAAGAAACAACGGGAGCTCGCTGGCTGTGAAGATAACTTTCTCCCTTTCGAGGCGCTACCTCGATGCGCCTCGGCGCCTCACACCTTGAGATGTATGCCTCCATAGAAAAAGGCGTAAGCCTTGCCCGAACGTTCGAGGCTTAAGCCTTAGTTCGCCCGACCACCGCTTTGATTCAAGGCGCACCTCGAGGCGCCCTGTAACACCCCACAATATCTCTTAATAGTACTGAGAGTATTACTAACATAAGTATAATATTTTTCATCAATCAATGATAAGATACTTTTCATTTATTTGGAAATTGATCTAAAATATCCAATCACATTTCATGTACTACGGAAGCATCTAATAATTTTAAATATCATAAAAAACATAATCACAGAGCAAAAAAAAAATCCCAAATGATATATTAATTCATTGTCTACATACCTCAGTTGTAAACTTGCAAACATAATTAAACATTAGCATAAAAGATAACATAACTTACAAATTAATCTGTAATGATCTTTTTCTTTCCTTTCCTGTAAGAACAACTAGTAATAAGTGTACTGGTAAGCTATAAGACTCAATAAGTTATGCAAATTTAAATAGAATTTGACTTGCATGATTATAAAATTCATAACATTGAAAACATAAATAAAAGTTAAACAAATTTGAAAAATCATCTTAAAATCCCACTTGGCAGTAACCTTTACTTTCTCTTAAATCGATATTGAATATTAATTTTAATCATTAAAAGATTTGGCTATCCTTTCATAAAAATATTCAATGGAACTCAGGTAAATCTGACATTATCACCATTGAATTACATAGAGGTCTTTTTTGCCTCTTTAGGTTTTGCTCCACCTGCTATGCAGCTATCATATCTCTAGGGCCCCTTTTGCCTCTCTTACAATACAGTGTATATGGAGACTCTTTTGCTCCACCTACAATTGTATGTTATACATCATTTTATAGCCAAATTTTATTTTAAATTGATATTCAAGATACTTTCACATATTTATATTCATAATTGACTTGTTGCATGCTTTCATAATGATTTCTGTTGAAATATTTATACAAAGAATATGCATATCATATGTAAGGAAATTGATCTCTTTACAAAACATTATCAAAATTAGGAAAATATTTTGATGAACATACAAAACCTTATTTTAAACTCACATGTTGAATTTAAGTAAGTGGTTATTCATACTTGAAAACTTGGTTATGAAAATCCTTAAGCAAAATAAATAACTTGTAATGCATATTTCGTTTAATTCAGTTAAATACAAGTATACATGTGTAGAATTTACCACAATTTCCTTTTAAAATTTAAATGGCATTACTTACACCTTGTCGAGGTGTCTCTTCCAATTCTTTACTTCGCACTCTTCTACGATTGTAAGTAACCTACAATCATTTCTTTTACATTTCACACATTCCACAATCTATTGCTTAATTAAATTTTTCATAACATTAACTTATATTATACTTTAAAACCTCGCTTCCGCATATACGAAAAATCCTACAATACGATTAAATTATCATCTTTATAAACTTTACTGAATAGGTAACACAAAAGATAATAACAAACATCATAATCCTTTAACTCCTTTCTTCTAATCTTCTTTTTTTCTACTTCTATAGTATTCTCCTTTAACTGGAATGCTTTACTAAAATTCCTGTTTACAAATCCTGTTGTAGAATTCAGTCTACCTTTGTCATATATTCAAACAATAATTTGCTAATCTTGATAAATGTTATTACATGTTTACTTACTCAAATATGTACTATTATTTGATCTTCTATTTGCATCCAACACTTCTTCCTCCTAACTTCTGTTTCACTGAAGTTTCTTCACAATAACTCTTGCTACAGTGCCAGAAAATAGCGTGTGGAATATTGCTATGCCGAATTCCTCCTCTGCCGAATACTCCTACAGTGCAGAATGCACTGTGCGACCATCTTGCTTAAGGTAATTCTGCAAATTGAGCCCGCTGTCTGCACTATGCCGAACTTTAAATGTTTAGCTGCAAGCATACTTCCTAGCAGAAGCCGCTCCCACAACCTGTTATAGTTCTCACCCCCGTCCACGACACCTTCTGCCTACAGTTTTTCATATCAATCCTACAAGCAATGCTCTTCTCCGAATCTTCCTATTTTCATGCTTCCGTGACAATAAATTGGGCCCACTCTAATAATTGCTATGATAAGTTTTCACAAACATTAGATGCACCTTTTGACAAAATAATGTATTACTTATTTAATCTAATATATTAATTAAGCAGAGGACCCATAAAATCTAAGGGTTTCTAATCCCCGCAAAATAGCCTCCTTATTACACGCCTAATGCATCGGAGGAGTTCCTTTTTATTTCGCTCAAAATTAACCAAACAGCCTAATTTAATAAATACATGTATTTGTTTTACTTTACACTCCTAATTCAGGCAACCAAACAGCCCCTAAATACATTCATGTATTCACATTTTTGTGTTGAGGCCCGGGACTTTCCACGGCCCATGAGCTGAGTTACTTTTGTAGTTAATTAAATAATTAACAGGAGTTAAATAACTGCTAATAGAAATGTTCGTCAAGGCTATCAACAGTTGGCTAAAACTACACGATGTGATTTTGAGAAATCTGCAAGTGCACCATCACTGGGCTCAACCACGAGTG